GAAAGCTTATCTCCGGAGATTATGGCAGGAGTTCAAGAGTGTCAGATTGGTACTGTGCCAAATGGTTTCTGATATTCATGGTCACATGGGCACATGCATTGTCATGCAGTACAATCAGTTGTGTTTAAAAACATCATTATTATTATTATTATTATTATTATTATTATTATTTCTTCCTTATTCCATTACATCTATAGTAGGCAAAAGCCTTAGATACAGAATTGTGTCAATTTATCTTGCTAATACTCTTAAGCAATTGTCAAGAAGACTTATAAAATAAGACAATGTATGTTTACATCATAATACAATTTCTCTCTAGCATAATATATTAAAATTTAAGATAAAAGTTTCCATCAAAGGTAACAGAATATTTTGGTCATATAGCTTAAACATATATAACAAATCCAAGATATAAAAACATTACATTTATAAAAATACAAAATTACAATTTCATGATGACCACTAATCACTCGTCCCCAGTCCAATAAAACATATAATCAGGCCTCACACAGACAGCCCAAGCTGTCAGGACAACACAATCAGGTGGCGGGAAAACCACTGTCAAACCCACAACCTGCCACTCCACACATATTGGCAAGCCATATCATCAAAACAGTTTATTTTATCTTGTCAATGCTATCAAGCAATTGTTAAAAGGACCAATTGTATATGACAAGTTGGTCACATCACATACAACTACTTTCTAGTACAATACACTAAAATTGTCCTTTAAAAATAGAATTTTAAGATCAAAGCTTCCGTCAAAGTAACAGAATATTTTAGTCATATAGGGTTAACATATACAACAAATCCAACATATAAAAACATTCAATTATGATTATCTCATATTCATGATGATTATTAATTTATTGTATTACTCAACGTCATATACACTTATGTAGCTGTAAAAATCATTATCTCTTAAAATATTCATCAAGTGTATAAAAGTGTATCAAGTGTATCATATTTCTTCTAATACGAATAACATTTATATTTCCAGAAAAACTTGACGTTCAACCAGAGATAATTCGAAATGCAGTTGAAGGTTTGGTAAACTTACTTGTAGAGAGTTGTAGGCACCAGGTAATGTGTGTGAATCTTCAATGCTTTTGTGGTTCTTCATTCGTGGCTTTGCATACATTTCTCACAATGAAATTGTTATTTTATTCTGACAGCTGAGTGATATTGATTTCCATGACACTGTCCTGACACTGGGATTCAGTGAAGAACACCAGGAAACATTGGAGTCATTCTATAGGGGGAAGAAACAGGAGATCTATGATGTACTATCTCAGCTGACTTTGGATCAACCTCATTACCATGATTTGGAGTGGAGATTTGAAGTTCAGGCAAGATGATTGCTGTTACTATGTTGTTTGTTTGTTTTGTTGTTGCTGTTAGTGCTGTGCAGTTGCTGCTCTTTACTACTGCTACCACCACCACCGACACCAACTTCAGCTTTATTTTCGTCCATAACTGAAGTGAATACAATTGGTTATGTCAAGAAATAATAATGAATACATCACGTGTCAAAGTCACATAAAATTGACACATTGATTTATCACTGTAATATAGCAACCGTTATAAGGAACATAACAATAAAAAATACAGAAAACCAAAAGAAAAAGTCAGTAATATAAAACATGTAAAAACAATATTAAAAATTGCAAACCAAAAGACAGTCAACAAGCTAGTCATCAATCCAACATTAGTTGAAATATTCATGAAGAGAATAGAAAATGCTGCACACAAATAATTTTTTAATTTCCTCTTAAAAACATAACAAATTTTAATGCTTTTCAATTCAAGGGGAAAGCAATTAAATATTTTAGTTCCCATATTAATTACACTTTTTTGCAACAAGCGGTATTACAAAATTGGACATACAGATTATGTTTATGTATGGTATTGTAGCTGTGAATGTCAGAATACTGAGTTGTATATATCTTATTCTTTATTATAAAACATAAAATCTGAAATATATATAATGAGGTAACAGTTAAAATCTTAAATTCACCGAACATATTTCTACAGGATACTCTATTATTAACACCTTTAATCACTCTTAAGACATTTTTTATGAATTTTAAATACAGTTTCGGCGACCTTAAGCCCCCACCCCAAAAAATAATACCATATTTCAGTACAGATTAAAACTTGGTAAAATAGACATTTCTTAATACAGGTCGGCTAACTGATTCACGTAAGGATTTAATAAAATAAAGAGCCTTGTTGAGCTTTTGGCATGCGTATTAAGTATGAGTTGCCCAGCTTAGATTTTCAATAATACAAATACCCAAATATTTTACAATCAATTAATAAATTATTTCCTTATTATTTAAGCAGAAAACAGGTCTATAGATTGGAGTAGGTCTTCTTCCCTGAAAGAATAATACTTTAGCCTTATTCGTGTTTATTATGAGATGATTTTTGTTGAACCAATTTTGTAATTGATTCCTAACATTTAGGATTTTTTCATTTAATGTTAAGAGATTCTTTGATCTCTCAAAAGCTTATGACGTTATAGATCATGATATACTTCTTGAGAAATTGGAGCATTATGGAATAAGAGGGAATGCCATAATTNCAGGTAAGCCACGTTTTATAGCCTTGAGTGATGAAGTAAATGTCTTTAAGTTAGAGGTCTTTCGATCCACATGTTGATTCCAACAAACTGAGTTCTCTCAGTGAGATATGAACTCATCTACACATGAATTATCCCACTCAGCCCATGCAGCTCCAGTTTCATAAGCAGTAGATTATGATTAATAATGTCAAAGGCCTTTGATAGCTCTAAAAGTATGCCCAAGTCAAATCATTTATTAGCTAAAGCTTTCTGAATTTCACTGATGACAATTTGGATTGCAGTAAAAGTAGATTTATTCTTTCTAAAGCCATTTTGAGCATCTGAGATCAAGTTGAATTTATTAAAAAAACTCACAACCCTGTTATACATTAATGTTTCAAAAATTTTAGAAAATAAGGGGAAGATTGAAATAGGTCTATAGTTGGAAGTTTCTTGTTTCCGTCCTTTTTTAAAAATGGGCCGAACTTTAGCGATCTTCATAGGTGTTGGAAATGTACCAGAACTTAATGACAAATTATATTTAAAAGTTAAGGGCTTCTTAATAAACTGTATACATTGTTTAACTATCATTTCCGGAATCTCATCATAGCCCACAGAGAATTTCCCCTTTAGTTTGCTAGTGACCTTTTGAACCTCTTCTTCAGTAACTGGTACAAGAAACGAAATTGGATTATGTATTATGTTATTGACAGAGACATGATCATTATTACAATCCTTTTTTTAGAATTATCAACTTACTCACATTATCGACAAAAGAAATCATTAAATTGGTAAGATATATGCTGGGGATTTGTAACTGACATAGAGCCTATTACTAAAGAAATATTATTATTAGTTTTTTTTAATGCTAGTGGGGTGGGACTAAGTTCCTTGTACTGCGACCACTTCTGGCCTCTTGTACCAGCTCCAGATAATAGGTGGGGGTGATTGTGGAGCAATTGGTGGAATGAAGATTGCCAGGGGAAACCGAAGTACTCGAAGAAAACCTGCCCTAGCGCCACTCTGTCCACTACAAATCCCACTTGACCAGAACCAGGATCGAACCCGGGCCACCACAGTGGGAAGCCAGCAATTAACCACTTGAGCTATGGTGCGGTCCTTCCTTTACTCGGTTAGTCTTCAGTTTCCATATTTCAAAGTTGTCGGTATTTTGACATTTCCCAGTTGGACAGTATTGCCAAACCACCTTCAAAGAAGTGTCTCCAAAATCCTCTTTGTTTCTAGTTCCTTACTCTGTCTCTGCTCCTTTCAGTGATATTTTTGACTGGAATATGCCAGTATAGTTTTAGTGTCATTTTTATATGCAGGTAGCATCACGAGCCCTGCAGCACCAGGTGACACCACTGATCACTATGAATCTGGCACTAGAAACCAAAACAGGGCTTGCCAGTGACAGTACCACCACAAAAAATATTGTTCTGCAGACAGATCCTACAAACCTGGTACACATCACACAAGTGCTGGAAGAGGCGTTACAGGAGAGTAGGAGTCAGCATTCACGACGGATACAACGCAGCTTTAAGTAGTCTCTGTGGTTTGTTATCTGTGATCATTCTTATGAGAATGGACATCATAAGTACTGTTTTCTGTTTATGGGATAAGTAAGTTAATTTGGAGGTTTTGTTTTGCTCTAAGCTGGTAACAGTGTTATGATTGACACTGAAGTTATATAAGCAGACAGTTATGTTTCACCCTCTCACTAGCAAGCCTTGTGCTGCACGCTATGCAAGAATTGGCAAAGTGTTCTCATGCAGATTGAATACCATTTACAAGAGAGAGCTCTGTGACCATAATAAGAAGCAGAAAGTATTGAAATTTGTATGGTTTGCATAGTTTTACCATTACTTAGTACTGATCTAGATGGATTATGTTTCATAGGGAAACAATGTCTAGGCACGGTCTTATGTCGGATTGTGACAGGCCTGGAAGAACCTGCCTCAACAACTCAATTATTTCATCAGTATACACAATCAACAGGGTTTCTTTTATACTTGCACAGAATGTGGCATGGGAGGTATTTTTGTTTGATATCTTTGTTGAAAATCCATCACTCAGTACATGAGAACTTTGAAATTAATTTCATTAATGATGATATGTAACTTTATCGTGCAACAATAAGTTGTAGTACAAACCTCTGTTCTTCTCTTTTACTCCTCTGGTTTGTAACTACATTAGCAATCTTGTCATCATACAGGAACCATAGCATTTGGCCAAGAGGCTGATGATGGTTTTGTTTTCTAAATGTATATGTTTATTTTTATCCAGATTCTTCCCCCCCCCCCCATTTCTCTTTATCCTTGTAACAGGCCATAGAGGCCGAAATGGTTGTGGGATATTGAGGGTCCACATTATCTAGACAGTCAGCTCACAGATGACATTTTGGTTAGCCCCACAAGCCAGCCACCCTTTACCTCCCAGGAAGATACCTGGTACTCACATCTGTTAGAGGCTGTGTCGACCCAAGGACCATAGTGCAGCTGGAAGGATTAGGTAAACTGAAAAAATACACCTCATCAGGTCTCAAACCCACAGTAAGTTTGTTCATTATGAAATTGGGTCCCAGACTGTTTCATTTCACAGAACACCATGTAGCCTCCTTTGGAACACCATAAAAAATATATTTTTATGCCATCATTTGAATTAGGAACAATACTATTAGTGGAAAGTATGGTGTCATATTTTAGTTAGTTAGTTATTGGAGAGGGTGGGTTTCCCCATGCACTTAGACCTGTAGTGGTCCATTGTGCTTCCCTCTATGATTTCTACCATTCTCTATATCCTACCGGTATTGGTGCTTACCATCAGTCCCACCCAGCCAGCGAGACCGGCTCTACTAGCTGAGAGGTATCTATAATGCTTCCCCCATCTACCAGAGGTATTAGTGACTGCTGTTGGGCGGGAAACGTCCGCAATTCAGGCTCAGTGACCTCCTTTGGAGGTATGAGGTTCGTTTACGTGCTGTAAAGCTACGACACGGGACCCACGGCTTAAAGTCCCTCCCGGAGGACTTGTTCCCTGAATTTTTCCGCCCTTAAAAATTTGACGACCTCCGCCGGGTATTTGAACCCGCGTACTATGAGTCATGAGGTGGGAACATTACCTCTAGACTACGGAGGCCGCTTTGGCGTCATATTTTATTATAGTCTACACATTTCTGACAACGATGATGACAGTGATGACAACGACCTTAACAATAAGAACATCAGCAACAGCAAAAACAACAACAACAATAAGAATAATTCCTTTATTTAAGAGCTTGCTGACAGCAAGTATCCTATAACAGGGGAGCACTGAAAGTGTACATAACAAAAGCTAGACTGAAACTGGAACTGGAACCAGAACTGGAACTGGACTAAAATTTAATACTAGGCAATAAAGTAATATAGTTAACATGATAATGATGTAATTCAATAGGATTAAGCAAAATAAAATGTATCCTGAAGGGGGAATGATGATGATCTTATTCAGCAAGAGCATAGTTTGGGAACAAGTTCTATAGGAAAAACAGTAACTAAACTGACACCTTACTGCAGGCTCTCCTAAGAGCAGTTGCTAGTCTTGCAGTTATTCAAGACATTCCCTGCCAGTTCATTCTCTTTCTCAAATCCATAATATATCTGTCTAAAATCCGTTTTCATTTGTTCCTCCAAAATATGCCTAGTTTTCCCAAATGGTCTATTTCCTAGTGGTTTTCTAACCAAATTTCTGTGTGTATTTAATGTTTTCCCTATGCATACTACATGACTCTCTCATTCTTCCCTCTTAATCTAAACATTCTAACGGTTCTTTGTGACAAATGTACAGCATAAAATTCTTCATTATATAACTTTGTTATTTTCTCTAAGTACAGATACTCTCCTCAGCACTTTGTGGTCAGACAAGCTCACACTAAACATGCTGGTCTGAAGGTAAAGTAAAGTAAAGGTATCCCTGTAACAGGCTGTGGAGGCCCATGGGGTTGTGAGATGTTGAGGTTCCCACATTTTCTAGACCATCGGCTCATAGATGGCGGCATGGTTGTCAGCCCTACGCACCAACCACACTTTACCCCCAAGAATATTCCTGGTACTGATTTCTGTTAGAGGCTGAGTTGACCCCAGGGTCATAGTGCGGCTGGAAGGATTAGGTCAGTTGGAAAAAATTAAATGACTACATCGGGACTTGAACCCACAACCTTCCGTCTTGTAGCATAGTGCCTCAACCAACTACACTACATAATCAGTCCTATAGACTTGAGTTGGGAAGGGTATCAGTCAAAATGCAAGCTAGGACACCAGATAGTCTGACAAGGGTTTCATGGTTTTCCGCAGCCCCCTGCAGCCAAATGCCAGGATAGTACCTCAGTTAGGCCATGACTAATTCCTTCCAAATCCTTTCCAATTCATCTGTTATTTAACTACCTGATGCTGTATAGTCTTGATCTTGAAAGTGTTGTTAAGTGACCTGCAAAAAGACTAGTTTAATTCTCAACTCAGAGTGAGCCACAAAATATCATATGGTTATAAATAGATTGATCTGTATAAGGTATGAAGTAAGATTTGAAGTTTTCACGGTGGTGACTATGAAAAATGTCGTCTCTGGAATGTGGCGCCATGTTGATGATGTGTGAACCGACATTTTGGAAGAATGTATTGCCTCCATCTTCAGGGTATAAGAAATTAGCGAGTGACATTCTCGTGCTGGTTTCTTGCTCACAGAATTCTTATACCCTGAAGGTGGAGGCAATGCGTTCCACCGAAACATCATTTAACACAATATCTACATGCCCACATGTCCCAGGAGACGACATTTTTCAAGGTATGAAGCTTTCATTGCATTCTGACACAACTGATTGCCTGGGAAGATTTCATTTGGCAGGTTCAGTCAGATTTTTGTGTATTTTAATGCTTGCAATCTCAAAGAGGAAATAATAGATGTCACATATGTTACTATTAATAGAAAAATAAATATTTGGTTCCTTTATGTAAGATAATGGTTCAATTTTGTGAACTTGTATTGGAGTCTGTATCTTTATGTGCATGTGGTCAGTGATGGATTTTATGTCATTTTAAAACAACAGAATTTAGGATTCATATAATGTATTCCATTTATTACTTTTCCCCTCCTACTCCTTGTACTGTTTCATATATACACATACATATATGCTCAGCCCTCTCATGGGTTGTTGATTGGAGTGAGTTATGTGTTTTTTTTTTTATAGATTTTGTATCAGAATTGCACTTACTTTGTGAGTTAAGTTTTCCTTATACCACTCTGCTTATATATGGCAGGGCTTCTTATGGCTGGACAAACTCCTCAGCATGTCATACTCAATAAGGAACAGGTAATATGATAGATTATTAAGTATGTTTAGGGAGAATCCTTACAATTTTGATGATAACTGGCAGAATTAATCAAGTTTTAGGGTGTCAGCATGTTAGGTATATATATCGCTTGTATCGATATGGATTCTCTGTCATAGTGAGCTCCTGTGTGAGTTGCACCTTAACAGCAGCTGCAGTGACATCAACAGGTTTGCCACTTCACAGCTTTTGTAGATTGTGTTATTTGGATTCTGCAGATTATTGTAATTAAGTAGTTAGTTATTTAGAGAGGGTGGGTTTCCCCATGCACCATGGCCAGTTTGATCTATTGTGCTGCCCTCTATGATATTCTGCCAGTCTCTATACCCTACCGATAACGATTTCGGCCACTTGCTTAGCGGTGTCTATAATGCTTCCCCCATCTATCAGAGGCCTTAGAGAATATTGTTGGGCGGGAAACATCCTGGAATTTGGCTCAGTGATCCCCTTTGGGGATATGAGGTTCTTTTACGTGCCGTAAAGTTACGACACGGGACACACAGCTTAAAGTCCTTCCCGGAGGACTTGTTCCCTGAATTTTTCCACCCTTAAAAATTCGACAACCTCCGCCGGGTATTTTAACCCGCCTAGCACGAGTCATGAGGTGGGAACGTTACCTCTAGACTACTGAGGCCGCTTTGTAATTAAGTAAGTCAGATATAAGTTACTAATTGCACATCTATGCTTGAACATTATCCTTAAATAACCTGAGAACCAATAAACCAGTTAACTCTGTAGTAGAGGTTCCTTGAGTGGTCATCGTTATTCAGTTTGTCAAATATTCCATGTTGTGGAACTGAAAAGTTTAATTACTGTCTTCAAAAAGCCTACCAATGAATCCTTTGCTGAGCCATCCCATTGTAGTTGACAAGTTCACAGTTTATTTAATATTATCGTTTCTTCTGTGCCTAAGTTTATTTCAAATAGTCTGTTTCTTTGACTTTCGCAATCAAAGTTTTGTATGGTTGTCTTGTTTCAGTGGTGTGTTCTGCAGATCTTTTGTGTTTAATGAGTCTAACAATATTAGGTGAAGAGTACAAACTTTCAATCTCTACATCATGCAGTTTTTTATTCCTTTCTTACTTCCTCTCTTAGGGCTATGTGAAGACTGCAGAAAGAAAAACAGAGATATCACTTGAAAAATATTGAAATTTCTTTTCTTTTAACTTATTGACATTTTATGCTGATATTCTAATGAATTTATTCCTCTGTTACGTGTGTGTAAAGAATATACAGTAAATTCCAGCACTGAATTTTTTTTTGTTCTCTTTGAAGAATACCAACTTCTGGAATGAGACACTGTGTAGTCCAGTATTTTACTAGGCCATATAGCATCCTATGTAACCTGGTATATAAATTTGTTAATATTATTATTGTTATTCAAAATGGAGAAGGTGGATGTGTAGCAGGACAGTGTTGTGCCATGAAGTCAACTGAGGAAGTTATCAATTTTCAAATTTGTCAGTAACTGACCTGTAACCATCAATGGTGTTTAAATGGTTTGTACAGGGGAGAGTCACACCCCAGGGCTATAGTGCAGCTGGAAGGATTCGGTAAACAAAAAATCTAATGACACCATCAAGATTCGAACATGCAACCTTCTGGCTTATAGCATAGTGTCTCAACCAGCTATTCCACTGCATGACCCAGTAAATTGGTCACAAATTGATATAAAATGTAAAACATGTAAAATTCAAACATGTTAAAACATTTGTTTCTTGGCATATCCTCCACCAACATTGATACATTTGTCCCATTGCTTTGCCAGATCATCAGAACCCACAACATAGAAGTCTTTTGACTGTTGTCTTAGCCACTTTTTATAATCAGCAAAACTTTGCCACCAAGGTGGTTTCTTTAGTGGACCAAGCAGGTGAAAGTCACTAGGGGCCAAGTCTGGACTGTTCCCACTGCAGTTCTTGAATTCTCTCCTGTGTTGCTCAGGCTGTATGGGGTCTGGCATTGTCATGATGAAGCAGTATCCCTCTTGCCTGTTGGCCTGCACATTTTCTGTGAATTGCATCCCAAATCTTCAACAGATCTTCACAGTATGATGCAGAATTCACATTTTCACCACACTTCTGAAAATGGGCTAACAGTACTCATAGAGAAACTCAAAACACAGTAAGCATAATCTTCCCAACTGATGGCATAACCTTAAACTTTGAGTTTTTTTGGTTGAAGGTGAACTGGAATGTTTCTATTGCCTTGAAAAACGCTTTAATTCCGGTTTGTAGTGAAGCCCCCACAATTCATCCCCAGTAATGATCTTGTTATATCTTCTTGTTCATCTGTGTACTGTAATGTTGCAAAGATAGACCCATTCAGTTCATTTTCTCAATCCTTCAGTTCTCTCGTCACCCACCGTGTGCACACTTCTTGCAACTTCAAATGATCATGCATTATGATGTATGTTAAACCATGGAACATCCTAAAGCAGTTGCTACACCGTCTATCATTATTCTTCTGTCAGCTCAAAACAACTATAACACCCGCTATAATCCACGAATTTCGAACATCCTTGAGAGAATTTCTAAACCCAGTTGTGAACCGCTGTACACGACAAACACTTCCCACCATAAACAGGAAACATTTCTTTATTAATATACTTTGAATTGAATCCTTTTTCCCACAAAAAAAAACAACACAACACAACACAACACAACACAACACTGCTTTTGGTAATATACTCCTCAAGCACAGTCACCATTTTGACTACTGAAATCTGCCTCTGAACATGTGTGCATGCACATCTGCTACCTAGACTCTCTTGAAGCTGGACTGTTCTGCTACCTACTGATACACATAGGAAAGTGATTACATCCATTACAGCTGTTTTACTTCCATTTTTGACCTATTTACTGACTCTCCGTTATACATTTCTAGGAAGGTCAGAAATCAGTTCTTGATGTTGGAACTGGTACACCCCATGTTATTGTCACTGATGTAAGTATTTACTGTGCTGATTGTCTGAAAAATGTGGGAGCCTCAACATCTCATAACCCTATGGCCTTCCATGGCCTGTTAGAGAGCTTTACATTTTTTTTTTATCCTTTTAGACTATATTATGTTCTCAGCCATTTCAGCCTTCTTGGACATTTGAAGAAGTTTGTGGAAATCAACATTTTATAATGTAGAGAGGATCTAGCTGCATATCCATAATTTCTTGCACGAGCTTCAAGAAAATGTGTGTTCAACTGGGTACAATGTTCATTCAGTGATGAAATAATCTTGTGCAATCAGTGTGTAGCAAAATGCAGGTTCCAGAACCTACAGCACATTTGTAAATAATACACCATATTCTCTTTCCTTTAAAAAAATCAATATCCCCAATTTTCTACTTGGTCTTTAATTCTTAATATTTCTATTACATAACATGTGAAAGAACAGATGGAAATTGTGAGATCTGTGGATCACATTGCAGTGACTGAAGATTATTGTCTTCTGATAGATATGTTTAAGAGGAATGTGCTGCTCCATTGTAAGTTAGACTCTTCTACCCAGAGAATGGAGGCAGCATATACTTCCAAAACATTAGTAAATATCTACCAGATTATATGGCTTCACATTCCAGAAGATAGCAATCTTTATATGTAGGCCTACTTCATCTGATTTTATTCCATGTTCATATAGAGACATTGAAATTATAGTGACTACAGGTATTGTTAACTTAAAGATAATTTTCAGTTCAGTTACTTCCCCAAGTGTATAGCTCTTCCTGCATGAAAATACAGCACTGATATCTGTATACTTTGAAAAAAGAAAACATGGGCACCTGTACATTTTTATATGTGTGTCATATGTTATAAAAACTCTTAGCAGATTCTTAACCTCGAGAAAAACTAATAATCAATTTTGAAAATATTTTTGATTTCAGAAAATGATGGAACTATTTGGACTATTAAATATGTCTTGAAAGATTATGAATTTTCCTAATATAATGATGTTTGAAAGTGTGTATCCATTATATAATTGTGTTTTTGAACAGATGATAACAAATTGGTAACACTTAGATAAGGTCTGTAAATAGGTACACCAGTTTCCGTAATACATGACTTGGCTGAACTTTGTATTGAGTACCTGCTGTAATAAGAATTGGATATAAAGCTGAAAAAAAAACAGATAAACACGTGATAATGTTAATGATGAGCTTAACAGGTGTCAAGTTATTTTGCAAAGGTATATTTTCGAGTATATAATGTAATTAGATATTAAATATATTTAAATATCTAGTAACAATCCATACTTTCATCATAAATAATACCAAGTGTCAGTAGTAGACATAATTTTAATGAACTTCAGTCCAGTTCACAATCTGTTTTCCGAAGTCGCATCTTAATATTATCCTCCCATATCTCTCTTGGAGCTTTAAGTGACTTCTTGTGTCCCTACCAAAATTTTTTACACATTTCTTGTGGCTTCCATCTGAGCTACATATGCAGCAAGTCATAGCCTTAATTTTACTGTACATACATACATACATCAGCGTTTCAGAGTATTCATAAGTGTGCAACTGGCACTGAATGTAAAATTGTCAAACAACAGTCACAAGACAATCACAGATTGTGTCTTGTGACAAAAATCGCAGAAATCCATATTTGACCATAGTTAAAATCTAAACTGAATACCTCAATTAAATAGATACAATTACACCAACAAGATAATTAGCAATACATAATAATTCTCCTTCCTACTCCTATATACATATGCATGCAATGAAGAACTGTAGTTGTCACATACTTAGATATAAATTGCACAGTAATACAATGAAATATACCTAAATAAACTTATTTCTGACTATAAATCCTTACAATAAAGCAGAAATTCATCAACTGAATAAAACGAATTGATGATTAATATTTCTTTTAGTCTTCCTAGCAAAAGTTTCCTGTCTTGTACCAAATCTCTTACATGTAGAGGAAAACTGTTGAAAGTTTTAACACACACATAATGGACTCCTTTTTACCTTACTTCTAAATGTGACTGTGATACATGTAGAGTCCCTCTGTGTCGTGTGGTCTTATTATGGATTGCATCATTAAAAATAAAATACTCAAGATTACTTACCATAAATATCATCAAAGATAATTCACATTGGGAGGCCAATGTTAATATGTTTAGTATTTTTAATACTGGCCTGCATGTATCTCTTTGTTTCAATCCCATCATCCCCCTAGCAGTTCTCTTCTGTAAGAGAAAAATCTACTTATCATCTGGTCAGTTACCCCAGAAAATTATCCCATACCTCATCACTGAAAGAAAATATGTGTTATATATCATCCTGAGTGTTTCAATATTAGTGCCCACCTTCAAATTTCTTAATGCGAAGCATGCCTTGCCCAATCTTTGTAACATTACTTTAACGCGTGTTTTCCAGTTTAAAAACTTATCTATTTCAAGGCCCAAAAATTTGATATTCATTGCATTATATAATACCTCATTTTTATACTGCAATTGCACTGGCATATTTCCATGATTAATTGTTTCACATTTTAACACTTTAGTTTTCTTCATATTTGAAGACAGGCCATTACTTGTAAACCAAAGGTTTAAGGAATTTAACACATGTCCGATCTTCGTTTGGATATCCTGGATATTATCACCGGATACTAATACACTTGTGTCATCCGCATACAACAATAACTTGATGTCGGTATTTAGACCTAGTGATAAATCATTAATATATAACAGAAACAGCAATGGACCCAATATTGATCCCTGCGGCAGTCCACATTTAACAGTTTTCCAACCTGAACAAATTTTCCTTCTCTCACTATTGTACAATTCAACTCTTTGTTTCCTACCCTCCAGATAGGACTTAATCCACATTATGATTTTACCACAAATACCATAGACAACCAATTTTCTCAGAAGAATATCATGAATGACACAATCAAATGCCTGTGTTAGATCACAAAAATTCCTAATATTTGTCTGCGCTGATCTAAGGTTTTTAAGATATGACTAGTTAAGGTGTAGAGTGCTGTTTCCATATTCCTATTTTCCCTAAAACTAAACTATTCAGATGCCAATTATATTATATGTATTTATGTGCTGCCTTATCCTATTATTTCTTAACAAGGTGAGTTGCATAAATCACAAATGTTTTATTGTGCTATAACGTCCATTCTCTCTTCCACCAATCTTGGCTGCAGTTTGCTTGAAGTACATACAATGTTTGTTATTCCCTCATGGTAAGATCAGTATTTATGACTGTTAAGTTCTATATATAGTCATCTTTATATATTCATTTTCAGTAACTGTGGTTGACCTTCTGTCAGTACATTATGACAAATTTATTTACAGAAGTTTCATATAGGGCTTCTTCATGTGATTTTTACAGCTTCTCAGTATCTAACTGATAGGTGCTTTGCCACAGTCCATCTCAGTCCATGCCTCACCTTTGGACTGTGAACATCATGTAACATGTATTCTTTTTTTTTATGTGTATTATTAACATTAATGCCTCCTTCAAGGAAGTCGAGTGATGTCGGCGGTGTAAGTACAAATGTAAAAGCTGTGCATAGAGAAAAGCGTAACACAGAATTCAAGAAAAGTGTATATACATGTTTATCAGGGTCAGTTACATTATTCACAATCATCTCAGAAACATATCCCTTGAAAACATGATGGTATGCCTGCTTATAATCATACTTTTCAGTGTTTTGAAAAGTAAATGAGATGATTATAATACTCAGAATCACTGGGTTTTTTTACTTTGTCCATCGTCTGGATTCAAGAAACTAGAAAACACATTTCGGAAACTGGATCTATTTCCGTCCTCAGGTGAGGGGTTGTGAGTGAAAGACACCTCCTCAGTTGGGTTCCTTACAAAGAGCTAACCTCAGTCACTGGAGCTGGGATAACTCTCTTGGTATAGCAACCCTGTTATGAGCTGGATGACCAGGGTTTGATTCCCAATGGGGGCAGGAGATCTTTCTCTTCTCCATAGCATCCAGACCAGTTCTAGGGCCCACCAAATCTCCGGTCCAGTGGGTGCTGAGGGTACTATCACCAGAAGTAAAGTAGCAGGAGCTGTACTTCCACTTCCCCTTACGTATTCTTGGCATAGTGCTTACATACTTAAATATAGAAGATAAATTTATCTTCACATTTCTGAATGAGATAATTATTTTAAACTCCTTGTATTGTCACGTAAATATTGCTTTGCAGTGTAACATTTGATAGTAATGTTGTCATAAAATTACATGTGTCTTCCCTGTGTAGAGTTTGTCAGTCAACAGAATGTCCGCAACAAACCTGGTGATGTTACCCCAGGTGGCTCCTCCGTGGCATCGATCATCAAATATGACTGTTGTAGACATGGTTCCACCTGAGATGCTACACCTTGTTGATGCTCACTGGTAGGTTATAATTTAATTCCCTGGATGTGGGAGTACTCATGTGTATCTGTATGCTATTATAAGATGGAACTGGTAAAGCTACCATTATGCTTAAGCACACTGTGAAAACACATGTTTCAATTAATTATTGTAACTTAAATTTTGATCTTGTGACTCATTCTATATCCTATGGCTTGTATTATGCCTGTATCAGGATCAATTATAAAGTGAAATAAATGGAATGGAATGAGGGAATGTTCATTCCTAATCTCAGATGTAAGGAATGATCAGCTACCCCCAGGATGTAGGTTCTGGTACTGTTGATTGGGAGGCTGAATGGACTCAAGACCCATTATGGACTTGGTATAGAAAAGAAATATCCAAATAGTCCTACAAGGAATGAAACACCAGCCTTCCAGATAGTAGCCAATCGTGTCAATGTTTGAGCTATCACAACTTCCATTTTGAATACTATGCAATAAATGGCAGGCACAGAAACTAATTATCTTTAATGAATTGGTAATTTTATGATGTACTCTAATTTAAAAACCCTGGTAATAATGAAAACTTGAATTTATACTTCTTGTTAATAAAATCATCATGGTGTTAAAACATGTGCTGTAAACAGATTAATGTACAGAGCAGGTTTTCCTGCTCTTAATGGTGAAAAACAGGACACTTCCTAAGTTGTGTTCTTTGTGGTAATGTTTTAATGTCTATGCAGGTACCATTTCCGCCCCATGAACCCATTATGGCATGGTATCCTTGGTTTTGTTATTGCTTTACTGGGCTTCATCTCGTGGGTTGGCAATGGTGTTGTGATATATATATTCTCAACCACCAAATCACTTCGGACACCATCCAATCTCTTGGTTGTCAATCTTGCATTCTCCGACTTTCTCATGATGGTAATCATGTCTCCACCTATGGTTATCAACTGTTACTTTGAAACATGGGTACTTGGTAAGTTTATGAAGTTGTATTAAGTGAAATGACAATATTTTTTTTTAAATTCTGAGTCTGTCAACACTCACCTACATTATCACTGCTGTCTAGATACAAGTAGTCTTGACTGGAGTTCAGAGGATTGTACATTCATAATAATGCAGTAATACAGATATTATTGCTTAAAATTATTTCTAACAGTCTCTGATAACGGCTGCAAAAGTTGACACCACTAATATGAAACTTGGCACTTCACAATATATGGTTATGCATAACTAGAAGATCAGTTCATCAAAAGTAGGGTTTGGTGGCGATATTAATTAGGTAATTTGTGTTAATTTCACTCTACCTGCTTTGAAAACTTCTCATAGATCATAATGCAAGATGATGTGGCAGTGGTTTGCAGATGACTGCTACATCAGTTGCATGTAGAAATTCTCATGAAAGGGATGAAATAACCCTCTTCCTTCCTCATAATTCAGACATTTCTTTATAATCACTGCATAATTATTTGGTTTATTCTCTCTCATTTAGTTGATACCATTACCTTAATTAACTGCATTAACTTTTGTGTGTGCAGGTCCATTAATGTGTGAGCTTTACGGGATGTGTGGCTCATTATTTGGCTGTGCGTCTATCTGGACCATGACTATGATTGCTCTTGATAGATATAACGTCATAGTGAAGGTAACATCAGTTGCTGTTACCATTTTTCTTTACAGGGTTTGTCAGTCAGAGCAGCCTGAGGAACATAATTATTTATATTATACCTATGGTCACAGACAGTATCCCATTTGATCAGTTTGTTATAACCAGACAAGAAACACATTAGTGATTAATCTGTTAACTTATTCAATAAACGATTAACCCACAAATCAACAAACTCACCAATTATGTAACCAGCTAATTAAGATTCATTCCTGTTCCCTTCCACACTTTATCTGATTATGAATTTAACACTCAGTGCTGCCAAACATCACAGTTGAGTGGAATACTCCTGCTTTGCATTCAACAGTTTTTTGTGCTTTCCATTTTTTTATTGCTAGTGGTGTAGGACTAAGTCCCTTGTACTGCTGCCACTTCTGGCCTATTGTACCAGCCCCAGATGATAGGTGAGGGTGATTGTGGAGTAGTTGGTGGAATGGAGATTGGCAGGGGAAACTGAAGTACTTGGAGAAAACCTGCCCCTGTGCCACTTTGTCCACCACAAATCCCACTTGACCAGACCCAGGATCGAACCCAGGCCACTGCAGTGGGAAGCCAGCAACTAACCGCTTGAGCTATGGTGCGGCATGTGCTTTCACTTAGTTCTTCAAAGAGAATTTCAGGATGGTACCTCAAATTATGCCAAATTGTTTTCTTCCACATCCTTTCCAGTTCACTGATTATCCTACAGTTTGATTCTTCATAGACTTAATAACTGGTAGCATTGTTAAACTTTAAATAAACAAACAAGCAATGCTGTATATTAAATTCTGTTTCATGTATGTTCATTTGTGTCTTCTTGCAGGGCCTATCAGCCAAACCTATGACAATCAAAACTGCCCTGTTCCGGATAATTTTGGTGTGGCTATTCGCCCTTGCCTGGACTATAATGCCCATGGTTGGGTGGAACAGGTATGTGTTAGAGTCTTGCTGAAAACGTTTATCTCATGACTCCTGATAAAATAGTTTCTGGTCTGTTTGGTTTCATGCAGAATCCTTTTATAAGAAGATCAGCAATGGAATGTAACCAAATAAATTGCTGAATTTTTTATTACAAACTTTAAATTTAAAGCAATTTTTTATCAGATAGTATGACTGTAAAACAATTCCTGTGAAAAGAAATTTAATTCAAAATCTGCAAAATAATTATGTTGTCAGACTTTAGAGATTATAATTTAGTATACAAAAACAGTGAGAAATTGAGGCTTATGATTGGCATGGCTGACACTGACTGGCTAGTCACAGAACACCATTTATGCTATTAATGACCATGCTGGTAGTTGTCTGGACTTCTGCTTGACTCTAGTGTTTGTTTACACTACACCAAGTGTTGCAAATTGCATGTTATGTTGAGTTCATCCTGACACTTTTGCAATTACAGTAATTGTGATTGAGTTATTCTACCACACATTATTTGTTATAACCTCCATATTAATTACTTATACCAGACATGAGTTTCAGTGATAAATAATTATGTTGAGAGTTAAAGTGATTCACAGCAGGTGTTAGAGTTCAAGTAGCATATAAAGATTTAAGGTTCACACTGTATGCTTCATATATAAAAAGAGTCCCATGTCTTAGTAAAGTAAGCCAGTGAACAAGCTCTTCGAGTGGTCTATTTTTCTTATTATCAGTCTCAGCTTGAATATAGTATTATATTCTGGGGTTCTTCTCCAGTTATAAAAAGTTTATTGTTGCCCAAAAAAAGAGTAATTAGATTGAGCCCTGGAACTTGTGTAGAGAAGGTTTTAAGAGGTTGGGTATTTTGACGGTTCCTAGCCTATATATCTATTCTATATTGATATTTGTTGTTAGAAATCACAATTTTTTCAAACCAACAATAATATTCATCATATAAACACTAGACAGTTTGGAAAGCTACATGTGTCTTCAGTGAGATTACCTTCAATCCAGAGAGGCATGTTATATTCATCAATTATGGTTTATAATAATCTTCCTCAAAATATACAAAGGATGAGTGATAATGTGAAGATTTTTAAACACACACTGAAAAGTTTCCTCACAACAAATTCTTTTTATTCAATAGATGATGAATATATTTCTGCTAAGCATGTATAACATTTAATAACTATATTCCTTGTAATTTTGTTTATGAATGGCAATGTAAATTATGGTTATTTGTTGCTTTTGGTTGTGTGTGGTTGTTTGCTGTTGACACGATTGTACTTCTGCAATCAAGTCTTATTTTGATGAGTTCAATATCCGGTCCGGTTCGGACAACCGATCAGTGAATTTAGAATTATATACATATGTAAGTAAAGTAAAAGTAATGGTATCCCTGTAACAGGCCGTGGAGGCCCATAGGGTTGTGAGATGTTGAGGATCCCACATTTTCTAGACAATTGGCTCATAGATGGTGGTAAGGTTGTCAGCCTTATGTGCCGGCCACTTTTTACCCCCAAGAATATTCCTGGTGCTCATTTCTGTTAGAGGCTGAGTTGACCCCAGTGCCATAGTGCGACAGGAAGGATTAGGTAAACTGAAAAAATCCACCTCATCAGGATTCGATTCACGACCTTCTGGCTTGTAGCATAGTGCCTCAACGAAATACGCTAATGCATCCCTTGTCTTAGGGAACTATTTTTGAACTGAAAAGGTTGTCTTGTATTCCAGTATGCTAATCTTGAGGTCACAAAATTATCAGTAGCTAGCTTTAAACACTGAAAAATGTGTGAGAGATTTGTGTGTTAAAAATATTGATTTTGTTAAATTGATCAGACATGCAGATTAATAATTTTAACTCCCCAGGCTAATGCAACATATTGTTTTGTAACATATGAATAATGGAAGAGAGACTTCTGATCCAAGTGAGAGTAGTAAAAGTCTAAAATAAATTTTGTATATTATTATGTCATCTGTAATCATATATGAGAATTACTTATAAATACAGTGTCACCTAAATATCAGCCAGATCAAATTATGGTAGACTTAGCAGAACTGCTTCATCTGTTCAGTGAGTTACAGAAACTAGTTTCCTACATATGTATGCCATAACTGCAAGTCTGCAGTCTAAATGCAAGACAGATCAAGCTGTGAGACATATCCCATTTCTGAGGGTGATTCAGTGTACAACTTGCCATAATTTATATACTTACTTACTTATGGAGCTGAGTCCTTCTTGAGGAACCAGCAACTGTGCAGCTACTCAAGAACTTCCCAGCATTTTATGGAACCCGAAAATTCTTTACCATGTTCACAAGAGCTCTCTGCTGGTCCCTATCCTTAGCCAGATCACTTCAATCCATCCCATCCCATCCTATCTCTCTAAGATCCATTCTAATATTGTCCACCCACCTATGCCTTGGTCTACACAGTGGTCTCTTTCCTTCTGGCTTCCCCACTAATATCCTATATGCATACTATAATATATAATTTAGTTTATTGTAGCTCTTTTCTTGTAAATAGTAAAGGGTCCATTCAAAGATATTGTTATGTTTATGTGTGTGACTATAGACAGGGTTTAGACTGATGAATGGATTTATTGACCACTTATACACACAACTACAAGCACATACAGCACTACTGCAGATTTCTACACTTTACCAATCACTACACTCTAAGTCTTCTCCAGTCTACAGTGTCTTCACTAGTCATTGCTTTTTAACAGCTCGCAACAATGGAAATTCTTCAGCGTCTGTGCTCAAATTGTTGCTGTCTGCCAGATACCCCACAACTGAGCTATAGTGTCATCTGTTCTCATTCTCCCTTGCAGAGCTCAACTCTCAACTAACTGGGTCACCGCAGTAGTTTTCCTTTCAAACTCCTTTGCATGAACCGAGTAGACAGCACCGTTTCCAGCAGTAACTTTATTGTTGTATGCATATTCATTGCTGCAGGAATGTGTTTACTGATCTGTTCGCTAGAAATGGCCATTGTTTATTCACATTTCTAGCAGTCATTGCATAGAAACAGCTCTACACACTACAATATGTTTGCTAAAATTCATTTTGTATTCAGTGAAGATAGATTTATTCACCTGTATTATTGTTATTACAACAATTGAATTTAATTGCATTTATTTTCTTAAAAGGGCACCCAACCTCAGAAAATACCAAGACTATGCATGAGTCTGAAAATTATAAACATCACAGCTCTTTACTTGTCCATTTCATGCCATTGTCGCTATCTGAACTATGCAGCATCACCTAATGTGATAACTGATGAACTGAAAAGGATTTAGAAGAAACATTTATTGCTTAATTGAGGTACTGTCTGGGCAGAAAACTATGAAAACCCATAGTCATGATAGCTGCTGTCCTGTCCAAAATTTGAATCGAGCACCTCCAGGATATAAGTCTAGAGCATTACCGTACCAGTCTGCTTGAACTTACATCATTTCCTGCAGCAGTTCAGTATACTTGTAAGACTGTTGGCAATACTGAAAAATGGACACAAATTTTAAGAGGATTCATCATTGGTGTAGTGCATTTAGGATTTTCTAGAATTTTATCTTCATTCATATTACAGAATTTTGCCTTTACAGTAATTACAGAACGTGGCCATAAAACTCATGATATGAACCATAAATTCACCTCTACCAAATATCTGTGATAAATACAAGGAATATTTTGAACATAAAATGCAAAACAAATTTAGCTACAGAAGAATGGGGTTTGTGTTATGGAATTTCATGATATGGATACATTGTCAACAACACATCCCTTCCATAACACAGAGGCATGCTGTATCTTATAAAAGTTGCATTTCTTTTGCAGGAACTTATAATTACCACATGAAACTTCTTGGCTGACAACTGAATGTTTATAGTTATATACATTAAATGGTGTTAATGTTGTTCTCACCTCTCAGATTTGCATATCCACCTTGATACAGCTGAGGATGTGGTGCTGAATTTACCAATAAGAGGAAGTTTCTAATGACATGACCTTTATTTTGAATTTCACAAAAATAATCAACTTCTTGTTTATAATATTGATTTCTGTAGTTGAATCAGAAGAGCAGACACATGCAGAGTTGCTAATACTCATAACGTTCTGAAATGGGACTCTTTTCAATTGGAATAGAAAGATGATTATGTCAACATGCCCTTATGAGAAATAATATTAAAAATTAGCTTTGTAGGTATCCAGTAAAATTCACTTAGCTCATGTAATGTGATATTATTGTAAGAACGAGCATGTTAACGAATTTCACAGAGTTGATGTAGTTTGGTGTTACATTAATAAGTGTCATATCTAAACGTATCACTTTTGTAGCATAACGTTGTTGTTTGCAGATATGTTCCTGAAGGCAATATGACTGCCTGTGGTACTGACTACCTGACCAAGGACTGGCTGAGTCGCAGCTACATTCTTGTTTACTCTGTGTTTGTGTATTACACACCACTCTTCACTATCATATACTCCTATTGGTTTATTGTGCAGGTCAGTAGTTCTTTTGGCCCAGACTTGTGTTCTGAAACATTGTTATGGCTAATGTTAATTTGATCTTCCTGGGCTTGGCCCAATTCAGCAATGGTGAAAGAGTAAATTTTTTATATTGAACTCATAGAATACTAAATTTGATTGTTATCCTCAGCATGTTAAATACGAAACACGGGAACAGCTCTGAGATTGTCTTTGGTAAAGAATATACTAGTGAAGTAAAAATAAAAAGTAAAGCTCTCCCTGTAAGAGGTCGTGAAGGCCCATAGGGTTGTGAGACATTGAGGGTCCCACATTATCCAGACAGTTGGCTCAAAGATGGTGATAAGGTTGTCAGCCTTACGCACAGTAATCCCAGCTGTGTTCTCAGTGATTGCAGGGCGATTTCAAATGTCCTCCCCTCATATATTATTATTATTATCATTATTATTATTATTATTATTATTATTATTTATTTCATCCATAGCTGTAGAGAATTACAATTGGACATGTCAAACATGAACAACATCACATCAAAAATAACATAATTAAAAAAAAATAACATAACATTCACACAGTGATTCATGACTATAATACAGCAATACATTTTTAACTTAATTTAAGAATAATAAATACTAAAAAAAAAAAGACACAAGAATAAATATTTTAAACATATAGACAGATTTATTAACAAGCAGTTTACGTCAGAAATTAATAATAATAAATACTCCAAAAAAGGCAAAAATATACAGACAGATTTATCAACAAAACAGTCCGTGTCAACAGTTATTAAAAAATTCTTGAAGAGAAAAGAAGACATTACACAACAAATAATTCTTAAGTTTCTTCTTAAAAACATTAAAATTTTTAACATTCTTCAATTCAGTTGGAAGGACATTAAATATTTTGGTTCCCATACTAATCACCCATCTCTTGCTATGCTCAGTATTACAAAATTGTACAAACAAATTGTGTTTATGAATAGTGTTATAGCCATGAACATCAGAATACTGGGTGGTATAAATCTTATTTTTTATTATAAAACATAGGATCTCAAAAATATATAAGGAAGTAACAGTTAAAATCTTTAATTCATGAAAGAAATTTCTATAGGAAACTCTATTTTTAACACCTTTTATCACCCTTACACATCTTTTCTGCAGTTTAAATAGAGTTTCAGAGTCCTTTTGCACCCCACCCCCAAAAATAATACTGTATTTCAACATGGACTCAAATTTTGCAAGATATACACTTCTTAAAACAGTGTGGCTCACTGAGTCCAATAGGGATTTTATCAAATAGGTAGTCTTGCTAAGTTTTTGACACACATATTGGGTGTGGGTTGCCCAACTTAAATCATCAGTAATACAAATACCCAAAAATTTTACATCCACTGAACAAACCACCTCCTTATTATTTATATAAAAAAGGGGTCTGGTAATTTGAATAGATTGTTAATGCAGCATGTTGCTGAATATGCATACTACGTAAATTTGTTCAGTAGGTGTGAAAACTGCAACACTGACTGAATCATAGGTACCTCTCGCTGCCCCATTCATTGCTGTAACCTTCTGGTCTGATTTGTATCTACTAATGATTGGTTTTTATCCATGAATGATACTACATACACACACATAGTTAATCATAAACCATATATTATTGTAAAATGGAGATAAAAAACAAAGAATTGTGCATTAGTCAATTAGTCTGAGCAGGAACAGCAGTTACTGTAACACCGTTACTTTTTATGTGACAGGCAGTGGCAGCCCATGAGAAACAAATGAGAGAGCAGGCAAAGAAGATGAATGTTGCTTCCCTGAGGTCAGCTGAACAGGCCAACACCAGTGCTGAATGCAAGTTGGCCAAGGTGAGGCATAACAGAGATACCAAACTTTCTTGGTTCAAGTGTTACCATATGTGCATTCTATGGATATCTTATATACGGAATATTCTTGGCCACTTTCAGATTTCTCATTAGCATAATTCATATGCATATTTAATGTGTCTTCCAGAGAGCTATGTACATAGATATAGAATCCATCATTGTTTATACTAGATAACAAAATAATAATAATAAGATATTTAATCGTACAATATAAATCTGACTGTACATTCGTTTCACAATAACAATCATTTATGTACAAAATATAAAACATTCAGATACATCTACAACAGGCCACATATAATATATCACTCTTATCATCATAATACATGGCTTAATTATAAAATCTTATTGTTTTAATCCTATTTCTAGTCATGTTTCAATTCAAAAATGTCCTCAATTGTATAAAGGGAATTCTGTAATAAGAATGTTTTCAACTTGGATTTAAAACTCTTTATGGCATTAAACATAAACTTAATTTCAGTTGGCAGATGGTTAAAGATCTTTAGTCCCATATAACATATTCCTTTTTGGAATTAAAGAATTATACATTTTAGTATTGTTGGCCCAGATACATCTTCTGATCTCAAATGATCTCTCATCATGAAGTTTTAAGTCAGAAGTTTGTATGAACTTTTTGTTTCTTCTGTTTATTCTATTTGTTCTTTAATCTCAGTCTCCTTGATTACATCATCCTAACAATATCTTATGAAGAATGCAAATTGTGAAGGAACAATCATATACATCTTCTTTTCCATGTTACTTTTCTCTCTGAATTCAAAATATTCATCTCACTCTCAATATCTGCCTATTTTCTCAGAAGAGACCAGTTTCACACATCTATGATAAATGTGAAATTTTAGGTTCTTACAGCAACTAGAGAATACTGTTTTCAAGGTTGAGAAACCATGTAGCGTGGTAAAGCTTAACAATGTTTCGGAGGAATGTACAATCCCCATCTTCAGAATAGAAGAGTGACTCCAAAGATGCAAGTACTACAATCTTTCAAAATATCAGTGAACTTCAACAGATTATATAGTGTCACATCCAAAAAGACAGTATTCTTCATCTATGATGAAGACAGTTAATAACTGGTCGTGGTGCATGGGGAAACCCACCCCCTCCAATAATAATAATAATAATAATAATAATAAGACAGTTAATGAAACTACCTTCTTTTTGTTGCATTGTTTGGAATTGTGGTCACATATTTGGAGAGCTATTAATTCAATATTAAACTGTCTCTTTATTTCCAAAACATACGAGTAAAGTTACTGAACACACCTGTTTGCACTGTCTGCCAGGTTGCACTGATGACCATCTCCCTGTGGTTCTTTGCATGGACACCCTACCTAGTCATCAATTATATGGGCGTGTTCGAAGGTGCCAACATAAGTCCCTTGGCTACCATCTGGGGCTCCCTGTTTGCCAAAGCTAATGCTGTGTACAATCCCATTGTATATGGAATCAGGTGAGCGAAAATTGCCAAGGTAACTGCAGTACACTCCTTGTTATCCTTGCTAATGAAGCAGAAAAGTTGCACAAATAATGAAAACACATTTATAATCCAAGATATTCTATGGAAATTTGTAAATGTATGCCTCACATCTGATTTATGTAACTATCTCAAGAGGAACAAAAAAAAACTATCCCTGTGACAGTCTGTGGAGACCCATGATGATGTTAGGCATTGAGGCTCCCACATTTTCTAGACAACTGGTTCACAGATGCAACGAGGTTGTCAGCCTTACACCCCAGCCACGATTTACCCCCAGGATGATTCCTGGTACTCTTTTCTGCTAGAAACTGAATCAACCCCAGGGCCATATATGCAGCTGGAAAGATTAGGTCAATTTACCTCATCGGAAATTGAACCTATAACTTAGGGGTTGTAGCATAATGCCTCAACCAGCTATGATACCACGTTCCATAATACGTATGGAAAACTATATATAGTATGTGTCTTCAATTTTTCTCTACAGTTATTTTTTTGACATTTCTTACTCTGATAAATATGAGAATTACACTGAAGATGCCTGCACATGTAAGTGTCAATATAGAGTGGCCTTTATCATTAAATATCCCAGTCTAAATGAGGGCCTGATGCTGAGATCTTAAAATCCACACAGTATAACTCAAGACAACGACATACAATATACAATTTATAAAATAGCATAAAATGTCACTGAATTAAACCAACTTGGAGAGCCCAGTACTGTTCAAGAATGTCCAAACATTTGAAATGCTGTGTTGGTGATCTCCATGAACAACACACAACAGCCATGAAGATGAAAAGTATAGAGTTCTTCTACAGAAAGATGTAGAACAGTAAGGGGTTCCCCCACAGGATGTACAAACCAACGTGCAATCTTAGAGGGTCCTTTGATGATAGTGGCAACTGATGGATATGACTGTTGTCACTTTATATATTTTTGTACAGGCCATATTTCAGTGCTTGATTTTATTTTCTGAAGAAAGTATTTTCTCTTTTTCTTATTCTTCTTCTTGTCTTCAGAGATTATGCAAAATAATGTATTTAATATCCCCTTCTTGAACGTTTTAGTCATTGTGTCACTTTTTGTAACAGTTTGTGATGATGGTATATTAATACAATTATTGTGTTTTTGGACATTATCCATCATTTGGCTTTTATTTAGAACACAGCATTTTGGAGACCGGATTCTATCTCTGTTATCAGGTGAAAGCATACTCAAGTGGAACTAGTTCCCACCTCTGGACACCTGTGCCAACACAAGATAGGATATATAAACCAAACACAACATAAACCTTCAGCAAGAGTTAAGATAAACATTAAAAACGTTAAAAAGATCTCCATGCGCACAAGACCTAGCACCTATGGACATGCATTATTTCACAGCCAGTCGTTACCCCATGTGTTAAAGAGTATTTCCAAGAAATTCAGACACATTGGAAACTGTTTCAGTGTCGGCCAACTTCAAATTTATTTCATTTATTATTTATTTATTTCAAACTCTATTTAAATTGCAGAAAAAATGTGTAAGGGTGATAAAAGGTGTTAAAATAGAGTTTCCTGTAGAAATTTGTTTCGTGAATTAAAGATTTTAACTGTTACTTCCTTATATATTTTTGAGATCCTATGTTTTATAATAAAAAATAAGATTTATACCACCCAGTATTCTGATGTTCATGGCTATAACACTATTCATAAACACAGTTTTTATGTACAATNTTTGTATGTACAGTTTTGTAATACTGAACGTAGCAAGAGAGGGGTGATTAGTATGGGAACCAAAATATTTAATGTCCTTCCAACTGAATCAAAGAATGTACTAAATTTTAATGTTTTTGAGAAGAAACTTAAGAATTATTTGTTGTATAATGTCTTCTATTCTCTTCAAGAATTTTTTAATAATTGTTGACATGGACTGCTTGTTGATAAATCTGTCTGTATATTTTTATGCCTTTTTTGGAGTATTTATTATTATTATTAATTGTTGATATAGACTACTGTCTATATGTTTAAAATATTTATTCTTATGTCTTTTTTGGAGTATTTATTATTCTTAAATTAAGTTAGAAATGTATTTTGAGATGTACAAGGTGTGGCAATAAAGAACCCGGATTACTTTTATGACTCATTTCCGGCCACGTCATTGACGAAGAGGAGGGTAGGGCATTGACCCTTGGACTTCCCTCTACCGTCACACAAAGTTTCATTCACGTGCATCGGTTAGTCTGGCCGCGACCATTGTTAGAAGCGGATCGTGTTTCTGAGCTCCGTCGGAATAATGCTGAGTGCTAATGCAGAACAACGTGCTAACATCAAATTCCTCACAAAACTTGGAAAATCTGCCACTGAAACTTACAATTTGTTGACAGAAGT